GGTTTGCTATAATTTTCTGTTTAGCAATCAAAGATGAAAAATGTAAAAGTAATTTGCAAGTATGTAAGTATATATTTTGAAAGATGATGAAGTAATTTCCTAACTGTTGTGATAGGTATCTTGTTTAAAGTATCTCTAGTTGTCAGGTTTGCAGCAACGAGTAAGGAAGAAGACAACGAAATAAAATAAAATTTGTCCAAATAAGCATCCACGTCAACAAGTATAATATTTTTAAGTGGTTGCTCTGGTGGTGAGCACCCTCCACTTCAAACCAAGAGGTTGTGGGTTCGAGTCACCCCAAGATCAAGGTGGGGAGTTCTTGGAGGGAGGGAGCCGATGGTCTATCGGAAACAGCCTCTCTACCCCAGGGTAGGGGTAAGGTCTGCGTACCCACTACCCTCCCCAGACCCCACTAGTAGGATTATACTGGGTTGTTGTTGTTGTTGTTGTTATTTTTAGTCCAAGTTAGAGGTCCGTTAGTGTGGGGGGTAAGAGTGAGCCAAAAAACTAACGGCAAAGACTTTTTTGATACAAAAAACTAACTGAGGGTAAAAGTGATCTGTTTTCGATAGTTTAAGGGTATTTTTGGCCATTTTCCGTTTTGTTTAATGTTCTTTCTTTTTCTTCAACGTTCCATTAGAAGTGTTTGTCAGCGCGCTCTGACTTTTCGTGTGTTGTACGCTCTCTATATTTTGCCTAAGGTTGTGCGTGGAAGTCACCGTTGAGAAACGTGTAGTTTGTTTCAGTTACTATTTTGATTCTGTTTATCCTGTTATTAGATACTTCCAGATTCAAAGAAAATCTCCAATGATGGCATTCCTTTTTATTCTCTTTTGCAATCTTTGTCCTCATATTTGGAAGAATTTCGTTTGTCATTAAATTATTCTATTTTTCTATTCCTTCCTTGTTCTTTTAAGAGTGGAGGATTGAGGGAGTCCACTGAAAATGTGAAATAGAATAAAGAATTATTTTGGATAGGAGTAAGACCCGATTAGAGCTGTCAAAACGGGTCGGGTCAGGCCAGTCCAGACCAGGCTAGCCCAAGCCTCGTGGGCTTTTAAATTTGGTGGGTTAGGATGGACCGACCCGCCACATGAATGAGCCTTAAAATAACCGGCCCAACCCAGCTCTAAGAGGATCGCGGGCTAGGGCGGGCCGGCCCTTCAATTTTTTTAGAATTTTTTTTCATAAATCCTTAAATATGTTTTCGTGACATAGTCGATTAATCATGTAAACTACTTTTGTTTGCTTAGAGCGTACAAAAAGCTTGATATTTGACGAAAAATCTAATAATTGAAATGCAAATTCTTTATATCTCTAGCTCTTCTTTTTTAAAGTTACATGAATATTTTCTTAATACTTTTCTTTCATTTTCCTCAGATTCAAGGATTGCTTCAATAAGTTTATATGCTAAGGTTTTTTAATTTAGGATTAACATCATTTGCTGATTTCATCATTATAGTGCATAAAATTTAAAATTCCTGAAATTGGCTAGTGATCAATTTTTTTTTAATGTATTTAAAATTGATCTTTTTCTATACTGAAGAGCAGTTTAAATATTAATAATATATTAAAATAATCCAAACTGATTATTGGCCACTTAAAGTAATATTTTCTTTTGATAAAAGATTATTATTGGCCACCTAAAACTTTTCGAGTTCGTTATTAATTAAGCAAAAGAAAAACTAATTTTGTCATATTACATGCATGTCAAAAATCTAAATTTTAGTTGATATGGAAGGGTAAATGAGCAATCTAGGGTTGGGGAATGAGGATTATAGTTAATAGTTTTTTTAGTTTTTATTTTTTAAAATATTAAATATTCAATAGTTAATTACTTTAAATTTAATTAATTTTTGGCCCACGGGCCGGCTCAGGCCCAACCTCGGTCAAGCCTCAAGGGCCAGCGGACTGACTTGGATCGGGCTTATAAGCCTCAATTTTAAATGGGCTCAAAAAATTCTAGCCCAACCCTACCCAAGTAGCGGGCTGAATCGGGCTGGCCTCACGGGCCAAGCCCGTTTTGACGACTCTAGACCCATCGTACAAACTTTATAAAATTAAGTTGCAATTAGTTGTCTTCTAAATTGCTAGTCGTTACTAATATTTTGCACACTACAGCTTTTCTTACCCTTTTTTTAAAAAAAAAATCATTCACCTAAGCTTCTACATATGTGGTGGTGGGAGGTTTGGCATAGACTCCTACTCATCTATTAATACTCAAAAGAATAAGAACAAATAGGGGCGCAATGCTTATGCAATAGTTTTGCATAAATGAATTCAAAATAATTGAATATTTTCTGAACCTAATACAACGATAATCAATTTAGTAGTTAGTTGGTCCATTATTATTTATGCATATATAATATTCTTGTTAACACTTCTACATATCATTCTTATGCCATTATATAAATCATTTGAACGATTTAATTTTCTTTGTAACATGATTGGTGCATCTTTCTTCAAAATTAACATGTATACCTACACAAATATTTCTCTTATTAAGCAATTATCATCAGAATTATCACCATTATTTTTGAAAAAAGGACTAAATCATCTCTTATTGTTTGTTCCTCTATGTTACCTGTGCATAGTAAGAAATCACTGAATCTTTTCCATTTGGATACGTTCTTGCCCTCATATCTTTTGTCAAATGATTTTTTTCCATTTTACGTCATAACTATGATTATAGTTTGACCAAGCTAGCATTTACGGTTTTAGCTCTAGTAAATTTTGAAACTATTGATAATAAATGAAGAAAATCACCTCCGAAGCTCATTATTCACCACATGGTTCATCAGCGTCCATTAAAGCTCATGTCGACTGTTTTAATTGTATAGTGGTTGTGTCACGCTCCAAAACGTGACTGATACTCGACTCTCTATCCACATTGAATGCAATGTCGGCTGAAAGGTAAGGCAGCCCAAGCAGTGGCTTTAGGCCCCCAAATTTTGGGAGCCCCATTTTTCATTGGTTGTAATTTTATGAATTAATTTTTTATATAAAAAATCAATTATCTTAAAGTTAAAGAGTATAATTTTCAATACAACAAATGAAAACAAAAATTTAATTTGTTACTGATGTTGACCGTTGAGATTTGAATAACCCGAAGCGTATAAAAATATCTTTAATTTTTTATTTATTGGGTAAAAATTAAGATTACTAGATGCTAAAAATCTGAAAAAATATTGACTTAGCCTCGATTAAAACATAATAGTCACTTTCACATGGTAGTTTAGACTTTTTTTTCAAATTACATAGCATTAAAGGATATATTACCGGTAGAAGATAAGGCTCTAATCGATAATAAGATTTTATTTTTTTTCCAAATTCCTATATTCCTTATAAAATATATTACTATACGAGTTGCATCCGCAGAGAGAAGTTTTTCCAACTTAAAATTGATAAAATCTTGTATAGGATAAAAAAATGTCTCATGAGAAGCTAAATGGGTCGGATTAGTAATATTATTAGTTGAAAAAGAATTATTAGAATAACCCGATTATAAGAAAATTATTAATGATTTTACATCTAAAAAATTAGGAAAATAAACTTCAAATAAAATATATAATTTATTTTAAAAAAAAATTAAGCCTCTTATCAAAATTTTGCTTTAGGCTACCAACAATGTTGAGCCGCCCCTGATTGATCGAATCAATCTCATATGGTAAGCCCCAATCATATGCGTTCAAAACCATTTCAAAATCCATACACCAAACAAATTCATTTAAATTGATGACAATAGAAATATAATTAATATCCTTTCACATATACCGTGCATGTAACTATAATTACAACCCAGGTTACAAATTTATTTTTAGTTTTATGTCCCTACCTTTTTTTTACCCATAAAAAATTTACTTTTACACGTAAGAGATTTATTTTTATCCGTAAGAGATCTAAAAAGATCATTTTCTTAAATTATAAATTGTAAAATGGGCATAATGTACAAACAATTATATAGCCTCTTACACATGGAACAAGAAAAGAATAACCACCCGCGACAGCATAGGGCTGAAATATGCAAATGGCTCGAGGGCAAGCGCAACTTGAGCTTTTGGATGAGCTAGGTATCCATCAATATATTCTGCTTTGAAAAACTAGCAATGAACCAAAATTCACCATTATCCAAGAATGTCTTGTACCAACATTCATAATATGCTCCATGCAAGACACATAGCAAGTGACTGATTCTTGGTTTGATCATGATGAGTGGAAGTTTATACCTTCTACTTTAGGTAAGGGGACTCTGAATTTATCTTAGATGCTTCATAACCTGTTTTAATTAAATGTCTATATCATAATAGCGTTGCCAAAAAAATTGTTTGCCCTCCTTTATGTTGTATAGAAAACTATGGAAAAAGAAAAGCGATGAAATATTCAACAGTTGTTTCAGACATTCTATCAAACACCTTAGGTGCATATATTCATCCTTCTAGATATAATGAGCAAAACAAATCCATGTCTACACTGGCCCTTTTTAAGGTTGGATCCTGGAATTATGAGAATAGTGATAGAAGATCTGTATAGATATAGAGTTTTCTCATTGAATTCTTTGCTTAGATCAATTTGTGTTAAGTATTCCTGACATAAAATCTATGAGTTTAGTATTTGTAACATAAAGCTATAACTACCTCTCATTGTTTTCTCAATCTTATTGTAGTAATAAAATGAAGCTTACAAGAACTAGATTCATCAACTTAGTTATTGTGACACTCAAATTAAAACTTACCCAAGTCATATACAACCATTCAATAGCACTTCTCTATTTTAACCATCCGATTTTAATCCGATTAGTAACATCTTTATCTATCATTCTATTCTCCCGAAACGAGAGCCTAGATATCTAAATTGTTTGCATTTTGATACTGCAATCACATCATCTCAACTTCGCTCATCCCATTAGATACCGCACAGCTTTTCAAGAGATTCAAAAGCTGAGATCTTTTTGTATATTTGTTTCCGTGTGATTTTCGTAGTTCTAACTTATGGCATTATGATTCAACAGACAATTGGCTTAGTTTTTATTCAAATTTTTGTAGAAATATTTGTCGTCTTTGCCAACACAACAATCATATATCTCATGGACATTCCTTCTAAATTATGTAAACACTTGCAGCTTCACATTAATTTCTTCTCTTCTCTCACCCCTTTTAAAATCATTTTAGACTTCCATATATCATAACTACGTATATCAAGAAAGGAGTACAATTCATGATTCAACGAGCTTGCTTGTGCAGACTTGAACGCTTAACGCAATTGCCATATGTAAATCAAGCAGCAACTGAGAGCCGATGATTTGATTACACCTAGTGTAGACTATTGACAAACTCAAGCCTGATCATTCTAAGTGCAGAAAGAGCATCTCCCATGCTAATTCTTGCATCAGGTGCCACTAAGGTGCAGCTCAAAGCTAATTTCATGATAGATAACACACACTGCAACTTTGCATCCGTTTGGTCATTCCCTGGTTGTACCAAATTAGCATCCACCACCTTATGAATTCTACTTGGAAAAGAATCACTAACCCAACGTCGTATGGTCAAGTCTCCAGTAAATATCTCATCACTTGGTCTCATTCTTGTAAATGTCTCCATCATCAGGATGCCGAAACTATAGACATCGCAACTCGTGGATACTATTCCATGTTGGCCATACTCTGCAATCACAGTGGAAAATGATTAGGAAAGCTTCCTAGTTAGCAAGGAATATGCTAAAACAGAGAGTATTGATTTATATCTAGGGGAAAGAATTGTCTTGGGAATTCTAATGATATGAGAAAGCCTAAAAAGTTCTAATACCTGGAGCAATATATCCAAGGGTTGCAATCGTCCCTGTTTGAATAAAAGCCTCCCCTGCACCTAGTAATTTTGCAATGCCGAAATCAGTGACATGGCCAACCATTTCTTGATCTATTAAGACATTGCTTGGCTTCAAGTCAGAATGTACCATTGGTGCTAAAAAGCCATTATGGAGATAGTCCATTGCAGATGCAACATCTATTATTATATCTAATCTCTGCAATAAGTTCAAGAACAAGTTGTGAGAGTATAACCATTTATCAAGTGTCCCATTGGGCATGTATTCCAACACTAAGGCCTTGAAATCAAGGTTGGAGCAGCTGGTGATGATTTTGGTCAGATTTCTGTGGCGAAGGTTGCGTAGCATCTCACATTCAGTATCAAAACTTTTGAATGCACCCTCCAATTGCACATTGAATACCTTTGCTGCTAAAGGGGTTCCATCCTTAAGTGTTCCTTTGTAAACCGTGCTGAAACTCCCATTACCAAGTAAGTTGCTTTCATTGAATCCTTCTGTTGCTTGTTCAAGTTCATAATAGGAAATTCTTTCATGCCCTTTTACTGGGAACACTTCTGCTTGACCTGCATTCTTCTTTAGCATTCGCATTCTTAAATATACATATGCGAAGGCTAATGCAAGAAACAGCAGGCCCACTCCCAAAAGGGTGTACAAAGCCAAGATTGCCTTTTTTTTCTTGGTAGATTTTATGACGCATGGTGACACATGAAACTTGGAATCACCACATAGTGCATCATTGGACAAGAAAGATTGATATGTGGCATTTGTAAAAGGACCACCAGCGGGAATCTCTCCACTAAGTTCATTAAATGAGATGTTCAAATATTTGAGATACACAAGAGCTTCTAGTGACTTTGGAATTTCACCGCTAAGATTGTTATAGCTCAAATCCAAGAATTCCAAAGCCAACATTTTTCCAAATGAATCTGGAATAGGTCCATCTAATCTATTATGTGCTAGCGAAAGTTTAGTCAATTTATCCAGACTCCTTAGAGTGATAGGAATCTTCCCAAAAAAATCATTTTTTGACAGATCAATAAGTGTTGCCGCTTTTAAATTTCCAATCTCCATAGGAATTTGCCCACCTAATAAATTGGATGAAACATTGAATTCTATGAGATCATGAAGGTCTCCTAAGGCTGCAGGTAAGCTCGAGTTCAGTCTATTGTAAGCTAGATTAATATTCCTCAAATTGGTTACTTTTCCTAAGCATGGTGGCACAGAACCAGCAAACTGGTTTCTTGACAAGTTTAATGCACCAAGTTTCTTTAAATTGCAGATAACATCTGGTATGGTTCCTTCTAACTTGTTGTTTTGTAGGTAAAGTTCTTGAAGATTCAGCATGCCTTGGATAGTATTTGGGATATGTCCAGTCAACTCATTGTTAGACAGACTCATCTTTGTCACTCCAGTAAGATTACCAATTTCTTTAGGAATGACGCCCTTCAGTTGACAATCCTGTCCTACAAAACTTTGGAGAGAGTTAGAGAAATTTCCAACAGATGATGGAAAAACACCACCCAACGGATTATCAGCAAACCAGAGTACTTTTAGATTCCTACAGTCTGTCAAAGATGTCAGGAAGCTCATTGATGAATCGCTGGAAAAATTATTCCCCCACAAGTTGAGAAACTCAAGGTATTTTAAGTTACCAAGTGATTTAGGAATTGGACCTGTGAAACTGTTGAATGAGAATTCAAGACCTATGAGTCTTGAAGAATTTGAGATAGTGGCAGAGACAAAACCACTAAAGTGATTTTGTGCACAACTAAATTCTTCTAGGCTGGGCATTCCACGGCCTAAATCTGAAGGTAAAGTACCAGTAAGCTCATTTCCTCCAAGTCCTAGGTGCTGCAGTTCCGACATATTGAAAATGCTTGAAGGGACGGTACCAGTAAACATATTTTGGTATAATAACAGTGCCCGGAGTTTCCTAAGGTTACCTAGCTCCACTGGTATCTCTCCTGTCAAGTATTAGAAATATATGAGTACCAGTTCGACTGAGAGAAAAAAGGAAGAAATTTCAGATTTCTTGTTAAGAAATATCATACTCCATGTTTCACTTTATGTGTCTTAGTTTGACTAGGTACAGAGTTTAAGGAAAGTAAGGAAAACGTTTGAATCTTATCGTCTTAAACTAAAAATGTGTATATTGTACCAAAATACTCTTAAATCTTTTGGTCTTGAATACGCCGTATGGAATATTGGAGTTACTAAATATAGAAAGATGCATTCTTTTTGAAACAAACTATAAAGCAAAGTAAGACACATAAATTGAAGCAGAGAGAGCACTACCTTCCAAGTGTTGTTCTCGAAGTTCTAATATTCTAAGTGCTGTTAAGTTAGCTAGCTCTCTTGGTATAGTTCCAATGAACTCATTGACAGACAGTGACAAGAATTGAAGCTTTCTGCATTTTCCGATGTTTGGTGGAATGACACCCTCTAGGTAGTTTGTTGAAAGGTAAAGCATTTCCAAGTTTGGAAGATGGTCACATATAGTTGTTGGAAGCTTACCAATAAGATTGTTACTAGTAAGAGCAATGACTTGCATTGTCGTAATGTTAAAGATTGATGGTGGTATAGAGCCAGTAAGCCAGTTGTATTGCAGGTCTAAAATAGTCATGTAACGAAGATGACCAAGTTCTTGAGGGATCTCTCCTTCCAGATAATTTCCCTGTATGTTCAATACTTCCAGCTTTGTTAGATTGGAAAGGGAAGATGGTATTTCTCCCGAAAATTGGTTGCTCGAAAGGCGCACAATGCGAAGGTCTGGTAACAACCTTAAAAATGATGGAATGACACCAGTGAAGTTATTGCTCGTGACATCAATCAATTTCAACCTCTGCAAATGAGCCAATTCCTCTGGCAATTCTATATAAAAAGTGTTGTTACTGATGTCGAGGGAAACAAGAAATGAGAGGTTTCCAAGATGTGGAGGAATGGTACCATGAAGTTGCATGCTAGAAATGTTTAAAGCTGTGACTCGATTATGGCTGGAGCTGCAAGTGATTCCAATCCAGCTGCAAACTGGGGTGGAAGAAGACCAGTTTCTTGCTAATATATTGTTAGGATAAAAAGAAATGTGAGATTTCAAAGCAAGAAGAGCAGCTACATCAGTGCTAATACTGGGAACAGTAGCAATTGAAGTATGATCATGAAGCAGAAAGATAACTGCAAGAGCAAAGAGAAGATTGCCACTAATTCTGCCCATAACTATAGCAAAGAGAACAGTAGCAATTGAAGTATGGCTAAAAGGAATGATCTATTGGCATTGGCAACACGTTTCTTGCTTCTATGTGATGTTTGAGAAAACGTCCTGTTCTTTCTTGACGCGTTGCATTTAATTATAAGTTGACTGTATGATGAATCTGGAAGTCCAACTTTCCAAATTAAGATCAAAGCACAAAAACCTGCCCCTAGTTTTGAGAAGATATAACCAAAAATCAAAGATTATTAACAATGTAAAGAATTTTTATTAAACACACTTTTACTTTCTCAGTGGACCTTTCATGTGCGAATCCGAATTGGTCAGCAAAATAGTATACCAAATGCTTAAACCAAAAATATACTAAACAGTGACGGAAACTAACAGATTTTTCAAGTTCTCCGCTGGCCACACAGACATCATTCCGTTTGGATTATTTTATTATAAGTGCTTTTAAGCTAAAATAACTTTTAAGTCAATAAAATAAAAATAAAAATACTTTTAAATACTTGTTTTAAGCTAAAATCACAAAATCAAAAGCTAAAATTCCTAGAATCATTAAAACAAGTAGACTCATTAAATATATGGACAAACTCAGATTTTTTTTTTTGTATTCGATACACTGCAAACATCTTGATCCAACAGTCTCTTTTACATGTTTGAAAAAGTCAATATGTGTAGGCTATTTGCATTTAATATGGATCCTTTCCACTTGGCTCAACCGTGATAGTCAAATTTAATTTTTTATTCTCTTAGGGTTTGGCTAAGCTTATAAGCTGGCTTATAAGCATCTTTTGACTTATTTACGCGTTTGGTAAACATCTAAAGTGCTTATAAGTCAAGTGTTTATAAGCTAAAATAAGTCATAACTCGTAAGTCATAAGTTAGTCGCCTCTAACTTATGACTTTTCAGCTTATAAGCACTTTTAGTTTGACCAAGAATTTTACTAGTTTATCCTTAATAATATTTTTTAATTCACAAAATATTTTTCCCAAAGTAAATTTCGTAACTTTAATCATTTTAACATAAGAATGGTTTATTAGCATTTTTCTACCAAACACATCAATTATTTATTATCAGTTTCAGCACGTCTATCCAAACACGTAAATGCTTATTTTAAAAAAAAATCAGATTCATTACTTCAATCTTATTAGTTATTTACAATCAGCTAAACCAAACGGGCTCATAGTTCTAACAAGTGAAGTTTAATTTTGTATTGTAGAACTAGAAATAGTACATGCACAATAAATATCCTGTCATCTTGTTAATGTTTGACATTACTCTTATGTAATTAAATGGACTTTATCATTGTTATCATTAATTAACTCTAACCAGATTAGTCCATTCTAATTCTATATGAGCTTTCAAAAAAAAAAAATCTACGTGAAGTGTCTCACACTCTCTCTCGTGGGGCTTGGGGAAGGAAAGTGAAAAGGGGTTTGTGATTGACGGGAGGCGATTCGTATGACAACTGAATGGCTCTCATAACATTAGTTGAAGAATACAACCCTGATCACATGGTTATACCTAGGGTTGTTAATGGATATTTAAAAATCGACTAAATTGATCGAATCGTATCGTATCGAACCGATTTTTAGGTTTATTTTTATAAAATCGTAGATTTTTATATAAATTTATAATCGTACCGATAATTAGGGTAAGTTTTTTATTTTGTGAAAATAAACCGAAAAATACCGAATCGTACCGAATAAATTTACATGTATGAGTAGCAAACTAAAATGTATTGAATATGTTTCCTTTCGTATGATTTAAATTTATCTTTTTGAATATTTAATCTTCTATATACTTTATTCTTGAATCCCACCTTGGTTAATATCTTTTCATTCGTGTGATTTATATTTTCTTTGTCTTTGTTTAGTTTCTTTTATGTTGCTGTAGAATAGTTGATGGATCTAATACTATGGCCATCTTTCATGTTTTCTTAATTCATCACCCTTTAAACAATAAAAATGTCCAGGGAGTTTTGCGAAGTCATATAAAAGTATTTATGTTATTACATTCTACTTCGACTAGTGATTTTTACTTGACATTTTAAAAAAAATACAAAAAATTAACCGAACAGTACCGATACCGAAGAAAAACCGACATGATTGGGACGGTTTCGAAAAGTCTAATTTTAGTTATACGTAATAAAAAAATAAAAAAATAGTATGGTACAAATTTTATAAAATAACCGGCCGAACCGAACCATTGACACCCCTAGTTATACCTTTCTATCGCTATTACAAAAAGGTTATATAGATATAAAGGTATTGAATTTTAAAAGATCTGATAATTAAAAAAAACGATGCAGGAATAGTTTAAGCGACGTCTAGAAATTCAAGAGATCGATCCTTCTCCAAAATGAGTAGCACCGGCCAAGAAAATCCCAGTCTCTTCTGATAAAATGATTCCAATTAACTGACTAAAGGAGTTTGCATCTAATATGGATCCTTTGCTCCCCCGTGATAGTCAAATTCAATTTTCTATTCTCTTATATGTAGTAAGTGAAGCTTAATTCCAAATGTTGTGTTGTAGAACTAGAAACAGCACATCCACCATAATATCGTATCATCTTGTTAATGTTTGACATTACTCTTATGTGATTAAACGAACTTTATTATTGTTATCATCCAATTAACTTTAACAACCAGAACAGTTAATTCTAATTATATATGAGCTTTCAAAAATAAAATCTACATGATGTGTCCCTTCTCTCTCTCTCTCTCATGGGGCTCGGGGGGAGGAAAGTGAAAAGGGGTTGGTTGATGGAAGGCGATTAGTATGACAACTGAATGGCTCTAATACATTAGATCAGAGGCGGATTCAGAATTTGGACGCCGCGGGGCACCATTATCTTTAACGTAAATATGAAAATAACATTAGTTGCAATAAAGTTTGGCTTGCAACTCTTTGAAAACTTAATGATTATTAGTTCGTGGCCGAAAGAATGTTCAAAAATATAAAAAAGCTTAAACAAAATCATGACTAATAAAAGTCTGTAAGCAGTCCAAAAAGTCTCAATCGAAGTCCCTGAGTCAACGAATACTTGCTACTTTGCCAAAGTAAATGTTGAAGGGAGAAGGGTTTTAGTTGTCTTTATTTTTTAAAATGAAATAATAATAAAAATTGGTTAGAGATAAAGATTATTGACTAATGAAACTAGTTAATGAAATATTATATCCCCTTTTTCTACTTTCTTTAATTATTATTTTTATGTCTCTTTATTAACTTTTCAAAGTCTAGAAAGATGTATCTCCAATAGAGTTTTTGAGTATTTTGTGTAGAAGATACAAAGAACGTGAAGAGAAGTTGAGTTTTGGAGCCTAGATGGAGAGATTTTAAAAAAAAAAAATTAAACTAAGTGACTTCTATGTACTAATACTAAATTAATGTTTGAATTAAAAAATAAATAAACCAAGTTGATTATTAAATATGGAGTACTAAACTGTCGTTCAATTAAAAAAAGGAAAAAAGAAAGAAATGGTGAAGTAATGCTGGTGTTGGGTCTCGATCCTCGGTCTGGCGGTGAGGGAATGGAACAAACCAGCCCGCATAACCAGTGCAACCAAGGGGCATTTTGTTCTTTTGGGGGCACAATAAAATTATTATAGGGGTCCTCGACGTATATACAGTAATTCCCGAGCCTATATGGTGCCAGTGACCCCTCACCTCTCCATGTGGGTCCGCCCCTGCATTTGTTGAAGAATATTGTTGCGGAAGCCGAATATATAGAGAGTGATTAAATCACAACTACTATATCTAAAGGTAGCTAATAAATAGTAAATGAGACAATAATAAAAAAAACACCAGAAGTTTACGAGGTTCGGCAATATTTAATTTTTGCCTAGTCCTCGGACACAATCAACTCAAACTTTATTTCACTCCAAAAATACAAGTGAAATACTACAAGAGAGAAAGAAGACTCAAATGCCTTAGGAGATAAAAAGGCAAGTAAGAGAAGTTTACAAATGAACAAAATTCTTCTTATTTATAGAAGGAAAATGGCCTTAATGTGATGTCATGCATGACATCACATTAAGTGTGAGTGGAATCTTGCCGGGGTGAAGATTTGTTGAATTTGACAAGATTAATGTAATCTATTACTCTTTTCAACTATTCTTTCTAAGATAGATAGAGTTTCTTTGAATGTCTATTTCTTTTTATCTTCATGCCAAGAATTTTCTTCACCTCACCCAAATCTTTCATCTCAAACTCCTTTCTTAGTTGAATCTTCAACTTCTCAATTTCCTCGACTTTTGAAAGCTATCAACATATCATCAACGTATAGGAGAAGATATATGAAGGATCCGTCTTCAAGATTGCGCAAATACACACAATGATCGTATTTGCTTCTTTTGTACTTTTGCCGCAACATAAGCTTGTCAAATCGTTTGTACCATTGTCTAGAAGATTGTTTCAATCAGTACAATAATTTTTCAAGTTTGTACACCATATTTTTCTTTCAAGCAACTTTGAATCCTTCTGGCTGAGTCATATAGATTTTCTCTTCCAAGTTTCCATGTAAAAATACAGTTTTTATATCTAACTGAACTAGTTTCAAATTCAACTGTGCTACCAAAGCCAACAAAACTCTAATGAAAGAGTGTTTCACAATTGGAGAAAATACCTCATTGTAATCAATTCTCTCCTTTTGAGCGTACCCTTTGGCCACCAATCTTGCTTTATAGCGAACATCCTATTGGTTAGTAAATCCTTCTTTCTTTACAAATACCCATTTGCACCCAATTACTTTCTTACCCTTCGGGAGATTGGCCAATTTCCATGTACGGTTCTGATGAAGGGACTGTATTTCTTCATTCATGGCAAACCTCCACTTATCTTCTTCTGAACTTTGGATTGCGTCTTTATAAGTGGTGGGAACACTGTCAGCTACAATTGAGGGTGCACAAGCCACCGTCTCTATGAGACGAACATGTTTCTTTATTGTTCTTTTTGGCTTGCTGGTTTCTATTGATTCAAGTTGTTGTTGAGGTTCCTGAATTGTAATCTCCCTCTCTGCTGACTCTTCTTCAAGGGGAAAATCTTCTATTATTTCCTCGTTTTCTCCCTAAGTTGGAAAAATTAATTTTCCCTCAAACTCCACCTGCTTTGAAGCACCATCAGTTTGTTTGACATCTTCAACTGTCACCTTATTTGTTATGAAAGATTCATCAAAAGGTAACAACTCTGCTGAATATAATTTTTCTTGTCTTTGGACACCATAATCGGTATCCTTTGA